AAGGTACCCACACAACTTTCTAACTTCGTTTATATAATTCCATTATTTTCCATCTCTTGATTTGATTGGTGGTAGTATTTTCCATATTTCGGGTATGAGTGATGAATCATTCCTATTGCATGTGTTGGGTGTACACTCAATGAACAAGGATTCAGTAATCAACCCATCTATCCACTAGTGTGTAGTTTGCCTTCTTTTATTCGTTTTATTTTACAATCTAACATCACAGCTAATTCTCCTTGTTCATTTTCCGCTTCAAATGTGAATTTTATTCCCTCCACTAGTGAGCTTATGTGTGTCAAGAAGCTAGAGAGAGATATGTTCTGTTTTTAACACTGTGAAAGTGTCATCCACATATCTCCACCATATTTTTGGAGTAGGATTAAATGTATTGAGAGCACTATTTTCCCAGCTGTTCATAAATATATCTGCTACGATAGGGGATATTGGTGATCCCATTGCTACACCTTCAGTTTGTCTATATATTTTGCCTTGGAATTTAAAGATAGTAGATGTGAGGCATAACTGAATCCCTCTAAAATAATTTCTTCAATGGGTAGTTTCATCCTATAAGTGAGTTCAGGATCTGCAGTTAATTCTTTTTTAATTACTTCTAAGGCCATATTGATTGGTATATTGGTATAAAGACTAGTTATATCAAAACTAACCATTGTTTCATCATTCTCTAGTTGAATGTCATTTAGTTTATCTTTCATCTCATATGAATTAGTTAGTCTAGAGTTTGAACGATTATTAATGGGGCATAGTATTATAGCTAAGTGTTTTGATAATTCATAAGTAGGGGTGTTCCTAAAATCTACTATTGGTCGTATGGGATAACCTGGCCTACGTATTTCAATAGTACCATACATTCTACTAACATCATTAGTTTCAAGCATTAAATTAAACCATTTTGACTCACCCAGTGACGGCTTCAATCTGGGTATTAATTCCGCTGTAGATTTCTTAACCTTATTCATTATTGTATCTACAGGCTTCTTAATTTCCTCATATGGACCCAGCTCAATATGTTCAGTGACTTTCTTGATATAGTCAGATTTATCCAAGACTACTGTAAACATTACTGTATAACACTGTGAGACTTTATTAAAACCAAAATTTACCCATAATGGAAATATTTACGTATTATATATGATCAACTTGTTTGCTTACAGTGTACGCAGACGACCACAATGGTCCAAGGAAAACGGTCTAACCTTAAACCCCTCCAAATGCCAAACAGTTAATTTCACCTTTAGGCATAAATCTGACCTAAACAAACTGGTTAGCGCTCACGAGGTGTGCAACATAGATGGCACTGAAATAGAAACTAAGTCGGAAATTAAATACCTAGGCGTCACTCTATCTTCTGATCTTTCCTGGTCGTCTCATATCTTGACGATTTCCAAGAAAATATACCGTCTTACCTTCTACATCAAGAAGTTAAGACATTCTGGTGTAACCCAACCCTTACTACTACAATTTGTTAACTCCCGTATTCTGCCTATAATTCTCTATTGCTCCCCCTTAGTCTTTCCTGGGCTATTGAAGAAAGACTATACCTTATTACGTAGGATGTTAAAGGTTGTCAGCAGGGTAAGCAGTTTACCACTTAGCCAGCTTGTTAACATTCTGGTGGACAGGCACATGGACTCATGTGAAAAATGGGCGAAGTCCATTTTATCTGACTCACAACACCCTCTACACTCACAACTCTCCCCATGTATCTCTTCAGGGAAAACAAGAAGTCTATATAGGAAACTATATGCCCGCACTAGTAAGTACAAAAACTCATCCATACCCTACCTAGCCCGTGTTCTGTGTGATAAAGAATGCATCAGGCATGAAACCTTTAACTTATTAAATAGTCACTAGAACCAATGAATCTCGTCTTTCCAACTCACATCATTTATGGGTATAACGTTTTCTCTCTTTTCCATTCTCTCTACCTTTTTTGTCTTTATTTTTGTTAAGTGCTGTTTTGCTTTTCTCTTCCTTGCAAACTCTAGTTAAAACCTTCTTGTTGTTCTTTTACACTCTGTATATCTCGACCATTTTGCTATCGCTTACGCCAGTAAATATGCTAGTAGTATCTACTTTTGTAACACCTTCAAACATTTTAATTTTGGCTTTGCTACCGACATACTAATATGTTGTTGAGATAATCTTTAATCTATGTAGAACTTTATTTATTGTTAATGTAAAAACTGGATGCAATATTGTAGTAAAATGCTGAGAATTCCATTCTGTATCACAAGTACTGATTTGGAATAAAGCTTATATAATAATAATAATAATAATAATAATAATAATAATAATCATGGCAATGTAACGACAGAAGACCAGAGACTTGATAATGGAATGTCTACTTGCAATTTGATATCTCTATACGGCGAAATTATGTACACCTTATACGAAAATCGTCATTTGCTACATAGATCTTTCGTGTTGTCCTACTTCTGCCCTTAGAATTGTCTTTCTTTGTCATCATTTTATGTCTCCCATGTTTCGCCGCAATACTGGTTCATCATTTGCTCCTCTTTGACGTCAAATCTACCACTCCACTATTGGATATTTTTGACCCAATGAACATGTCTTTATGTACTACTGATGCATTTTGTTTCCTTATTCTAAGACAGGGGAGTTTGTGTATTTACCACTCTGTCCATTTCACTAGATACTTTTCCACTAGTGAAAAAGGGAACTGAATTTCCTGACATTTACGTTTATCTGAATAAAAATGCTCATTAAAATTTTCAAAAGATTGGATACTGAACAAAGTGTACTCTTTTCGATAACCTCTTCATCATCAGGCTCTACAGTCATATATCCATCCATTATAGTGAATGAATGAATGAATTAGTGTTATGAACAACAACAATGTGCGTCGGTGGCACAGTGGTTAGGACTCTTGCTGACTATGCGCATGATCCGGGGTTCGAGCCCATGCCGATGCACACCCGATATCTATGGTCGGCCTGCGAAATTTGGGCTACCGATATCCATGCTGAAAATTCTATACTTGTACCGAAAATACAGTGTGGAATCAAGCTGCAATCAAAGATAAATAAAAAAAATAAAAATAATGTTGTTTAAATAATATCGAATCAATAATAATACCAATAGATTACAGTTCAATAGCATCAACACAAAATAATCTGAATGTCAGAAAAATTAGGAAGGATAATATTACAAATTCATGGAATTATAGTCTCTACTGAAGGCCGGCCAGGGCAGTAATATTAGCTGGCTAGACTTGCTTCTTTTGAACACAGAGCACTGGTTGTTTGAGACAAATTGCAATAGCCTCTACTGTTTGAAACGTGCTGTACCTCGATGTTTTTGGCAATTTATTAGGCACCCGGTAGATTATAGAGAAGGATTCTTCAATGTTGGCTGGCTTCGTGGCCGGTTTGAACCAGATGGTCTGATATCGAACTGTTGATGGTTTTCACTACACCTTTACTTAGCCATACTGTGAGGTGTTCTCGAGTGAGCACGAAAAATCAATTTCCTAGAGCAACAGCCGATATAACTCGCTCCACCACAAGTGCAGTTGAATTGATAGATACCACTAGAAGTGGCTAGCCTAGCCTAGGTACTTCATCTTCCATTTGAGGAATCCCCATCGGTCGGTTAGAGAATAAGACGTGTGTGGTTCGCCAGCATTAAAAGTTCTTTGAACTGATTTTCTTAATTTCATCGTAATTATCTCACTTGATATATTGCCCTTGAATTGCAGTCGTATATAAAGAGGCTTCTTGTTTACAGATAGTGAGTAGTCTTTTTCCTCTTTCTTTGTCATGTGTTTCTTGATAAATTTTTTGGGATAGCTATTTTCGATCAAGGTATCATATACAATGTTTAATTCATCTTCAGTTACGTCTTCTAAGCACATAGCTCCTCTACAAATATCAATAGTTAGCTATCCTAGTTGATTTAGGCGGTGCATTTTTATCTTGAGCTGATATCTTCTCTCTGACAGAAGAAAATAAACTGTTGAAAATCAATGAGAAAACGCTTCAAGCGTTGAACAATCGTTTTATAGATTCCTTAAGCAATACGCTATGCGATGGAATCCAGAGTCCTCAGAATACAAAGTGAAGGAAGATATTATCATTCAGCCAGTGGGCTGAGATTGCATGTTGTGTGTATTCTTTCGGCTCCTGCCACTGTGTGTAACATAGCACTACCACCATATAAACTAATAAATCGAAAAGCTAGAACAAAGCAGTTGTCTGGTAGTGCGCTTTAGTTGTCAATATATCTCTGGTTGCTGATGAAAGCTGTTTGTCAGATAAATTATATTTCCATCAAGTGTTAGGTAAGCATGGGGAAATCAATCGGTGAGGCTGTAAAGCTACATCGATTGAGATGGTTGGGACATGTGTTACGCATGCATATGTGTAGCCATCGCCTTCCTCGACAACGGGCAATGTTAGCTGACTTAGAATCAGGCTGGAAAGAAGTTAGCAGCGGTTAAACCAAAACATGACTTTATCAGTCAATGAAATCCACAACAGTTAATTTAAGCCAGCCACATAGGAAGGTGTAGACTTCCTGACTGGCTGGTTGGGGTCCTCAGGACAGTAGAAACCAATAAAGGCTGAAAACAATCGGTGATATGGCTCAAAATCCTCGTTCTCAATGTCTGGCTGGAGCAAATGCATCCATTCCTTGTGACTTATGATTTCCAATGAAACTATGTTATTCTTCGTTATTACTATTCCTTTTGTCTTACACCTCTGTTTACTGTCTCTATTATGCATTTCTACTACTGCCTTCTTTTGCTTGGTACATGGAGTGTGGTGACTTGAACTGGTGCACAATCGATGCAAAGTTCTATGTCGAAAACAGACAGATAGACAGACAGATGTTCCTATAAACCTAATGTGTAATGAAATGATCATTTCATTTTCTTTCTGAGAATTATTCAGCAATTCTGTTTTCACAATGGTTGTCTCTTCTTTATCTTGATTTTTTTTTGCTTCAAATTTTAGCTGCAACATCATATCAGTATTTCTTGACAATGGTACCAACTCATGTGATTCATCCATTCGAAGTAATGGAGACGTATCAGTATGCAGCAACTACACAGGTAAGCATATTCATTTGTTGTTGCACTTATTACTGTTATAAACATGATTGATCTGTAGCTGACTAATCGTAGTTTTCAGTAGTATATAAAGATGTGTTCATCAGCACAGAAATATCTAATAGTGGGAAGAGATAGACTCCACATAGAGAAGAGAGCAAATCAATAAGTATTGCGACGAAATGTGGCAGATATGAAAATTAGACAAAGAAAGATAACACGAAGGGTAGCAGTAGGACAACACAGAAGATCTATGCAGCAAATGACGATTTTCGCATAAACTGTACATGATTTCACTGCATAGAGATATCAAATTGCAAATAAACATCCCAATACCAAGCATCCTGTATTTATTAATAATCCCTTGGGTTCCTAGCGGAACACAGGAATTCACTTCCTTCTGTTTTCTGCTGTCCTATTCCTCTGTGTCCACTACTGCCCGTAATCTCTCGTCTCCTTCTCACCACACGATCTCCTCCATGTCACTCTAGGAGACGACCAACTCGTCGGTTCCTATTTGGATTCCACTCGAGCACCTGGCGCGCAATGTCATTCGAAAGTGTCCTCATCGTATGCCCAATCCGTCTCGATATTCCACTACATATTTATTCTGCGATCGACCGTCGATTGACTCGTTCTACTGGAGAGTTTCTTGTAACTAATTCTTTCTGGCCGGTTGGGCACTCGATCTTCAGTATGGAGCCAGTGAAGGAGACAGTTGTTGACAAATAATTGCTTTAGCCTGTTGGAAGTGCCTTTCGTGACGCGGTGATCAGGTTTTTCACCCATTTAGAAGAACTGATCGACTGACTTCACATTTGTGTTGAATAGAATCTAAATCTTGTTCTTAATGCTGAGACGGAGTGCAGAAGACTTCCAAAACGAGTCCGGATTGATGAAGGTGTATTTCGTCTTTGCAATTCTGTTTAGTTTTAACATCTTCAACCGTTCTGTCTATCGCCTGTGTTAAAGACAATGCTTCCTAGATAAGTTAAGAGAGTGATCTCTATGAAATTCCTCCCACTAATGGTGATTTCTGCTGGTTGTTGTTGTTGGTAGTGCGTTGGTATTTTCATCGAGTTTGTTTTCTGTGTGTCCACTTGAAATCCTCTCTTTACTGGTTACTTCTTCCAAATTGCTGCTTTTCGCTTACAAGTCTTCGAGTTTGTGTGACATCAAACATAAATCATTCACGTGCGAAATCCAGATCTTCTGCAGTCTTCTTGTCGGTGGTGGTCCAGCGTATTCTTGTCTCCCTTAACTATAAAGTGGACAGGCATATTATTCAGGGGGGGGGAATTAGTCTAGCCAATATATCTATCTATCTGAAAGCCTTAGTTAAATATTTTATTGTTCATTACAGTTCAATTCGTCAAAGATGTCAAATTTTATCTATACAACAACAGCAAAAAGGGACATTTTCTGTGCAAATGTAGTGACTTGTTGCCTCTTCTCAAAGTACTCACTGAAACCTGAAATCAACTGCAAGAATTGTTAAATAAGACCAACAGCATAATATTCAACTAGATTTATGTTTCTATTTCCCGTGTAAAGTGGCATAATAAGGTGAGCAACATGGAAGTTAGGCGCAGAGTTCTAGGTAAACAGGGGAAATCAATCGACGAAGCCGTGAAGCTACAAAGACTGAGATGGTTAGGACATGTGTTACGTATGCCAAGCCATCGCCTCCCTCGACGAGCAATGTTAGCGGATATAGGGTCAGACTGGAAAAAAGCTAGCGGCGGTCAAACAAAAACTTGGCTTTACCAGTCAATGAAATCCACAACAGTTGGTCTAAGCCAGTCACGTAGAAAGGTGTAGACTTCCAGGCTGGGGTCCTCGGGACGGTAAAAATCTATGGTTGGAAACAATTGGTGATATGGCTCAAAACCGTTCTCAGTGGCGCAGATGCATCCACTCCTTGTGACTTATGATCTTCAATGAAACTGTTTTGTATTTCTTTATTACTCCTTTGTCTCACACCTCTGCTCACTGTTTCTATTATGCTTTTCTTGTACTTTCTTCTCGTGCTTCGTGTGCTACACGGAATGTGGCGACTTGAACTTCCGCACATTTGTGCAAAGTTCTATGTCGAAAACAGACAGACAGACAGAGACAGACGAGCAGTTTCTGTATTGGTAAGGTAGTAGAAGTTACTACTTAAAGATTAGAGTAGATCTCTTTACGTCATATATATATATATATATATATATATATATATATATATATATATATATATATATATATATATATATATATCCAGATTTTCAACTCCAGTGTGAATTCAGTGCTACTCACTATACGGATCAGAGACTTGCCGCGTCATAAAGAGCATCTCAAACAAACTTCAGACTTCGCTCAAGATCAGATGGCTGGCCAGAAAAGATCAGGAACAGGGATCTCTGGGAGCGAACCAACACAGCAGGAACCGATTGTGAAACAAATAAGCAGGAAGAAATTGAGGTGGATAGGCTAGCCATACTCTGAGAAAATAGACCATCAAGTGACATCACTAGACAAACCATTGCTCTAGTGGAACCCGAAAGGGAGGCGGCGAGTTGGTCGTCAGTGCGAGGGTGGGGTGACTTGGAGGAGGTCATGTGAAGAGGAGATGAAAGCATGTGGTCAGACTTGGAGCGGGTGAAAAAGTTGGCAGAAAACCGAGGGCAATGGTGACGCGTGGCTGAAGCTCTATGTTCCTCTAGGAATTAAAGGATATAATAATAATAATAATAATAATATATATATATATATATATACATGGAATATGTTGAACTCAACTCTTATGCTTTATACTTTATTTTAAAATTATACCATTTATTCTTTTTCAAATATCTTAATCATTATTGATATTTATAAAACACAAAATAATTGAGAGTGCAAAGAATATCCTTTTCGATAATTTCCCCTCTTCTGGCTCTACATTTATATATATGTATATCATATATACAGAGAATATTCTAGAATAGTAGTCAATAACAATATTAGTGTTTTTTAAATAATATCGATTTGTTAAGTAAGAGATCACAATGCAATTACAGTTCATTAAAGATGCTTAAATTATAATAATGATAATAATAAAGATATAATAGCGAATAGAATATCTACTAAAATTAAAGAAATTTCTACAACCAGCTGAGGATCATTCAAACCTAGATGGCCAAGCTAAGGACAGTCTATGAACTAGCTTCTTTTGGATGCACACATCAGACTTCTTAATATGGATCCCAAAAGCCTCAGCACTATTTAGTAATCGAACTCTTAAGGCGAAATTAAGATTCTTTGGTATGCGTTAAATGACTCTGGAAGACTGATTAACACCAATCGTGTGTTGTATATCCACAAGATGAGATAGAATATCACTGCGAATAGATTTTGTTTTTCCTTTACTTAACCAACCACGCAGGGTGATGTTCGGAAATTCGACGAGAAACACGCCTAATTGTACGGCTTATGTAACTGCCTCACTCGACAGGAGCAGTTAAATTGGTAGATACACATGGAAAAGGTGAAAATAGGGCAGTTCATCTTTCACTCCCTAACGCAAAAGAGGAGTGGATGGTTTTGAAGACACAGTGTAATTCAGCAGCACCAACAGGGAATGCTCTTTATACCGCATATCTAAGCCGCTGTGTTAGTATCTCGCTGATATTGTCCCCGCGAAACTGAATTTGTAAAAATAAGGCCTTTTTGGGAACTGTTAGTACCTTGGACTGTTTTGATTTTGGATTCATATTCTTATCAATACACTTTTCTGGATAACCATTTTCACTCATCAACCGTTCAGTATTATTAATTTCCTCATCAAGACATTCATCCGAGCAGATTGCTCTTGCTCTGTGAACCAAGCACTTAATCAGATTGCGTGTGTTTTTCAAAGGCACGAAGCTGAGAAAATGAGTATACTGACCCGTTGATGTAGGTTTCCTATATACACGTCTTCTTATTGTACCATCCTCTTTTTTAGTCATAAAAACGTCTAAAAATGAAATACTAGACGTCTTTTTCTTTCTCAATAGTAAAATTTATTGCAGGATAAAGCCGTTAAATATATCCAGGATGTTTTTCGCTTCATCCTCATTTTCATAATCAAAAATGTATCATCCATGTACCAACAGTAGAATTCTAGTTCACTAGTTGCATCTTTCAAGAGCGCATTTTGTAGTTTCGCAAGGAAAATTTCGGCTAGAATGGGTCTTAGTGATGACCTCATTACCACACCATCGCTTTTTCTATATAGTTCCTTATTAAATAAAAGGTGGGCATTCATTGTTCATTTCAAGACAAGGTCTTTTATAAAAGATATAGGAATATCAACATTGATGTTTCGTCTTATGAGTTCTTCGCATACACAGTCTACTGTTTCCATTTTTTCGTTTTTATTTGATTCTATTTATTTAGAACAGAACAATCGATCATGCTCATGATAGTCATGGTATCCCTGGAATATTCTTCATATATGATACATTCCCGTTAGTTGTGAAAGTCATATATGATCGTGAATTATTCGGTACATTTCTTGCAAGACTTGCTGCTATAGCTGGAGGAATTTTTGCAACTGTCGCTTTTCTACGTGAAATTCTATCAAGTCTACCAGATGCTCTACGTGAAACACGTTTTGGTCGTCAGTTGGATTCAGCATGGGCACGTAGAAAACGAAATTTACACAGTAAACTAGTTGAAATCCTACCGAATGGTTTAGAAAAGACTGGCCTGTTGAAACCACCCACAGAGACTATTTTAAATCCTGACTCAGATACTTAATTTGAATTGATCTTTTTTTCCTTTCTTTCTTTCTTTTGCTGTTGTTCTCTTGACTAGTACCACCGCCACCTTCACCTACCGACTGCTGATTTTTTTTATTCTGTCCATATTGTTTACTTGTGCCTTAAGCCTTTCTGTGATCTGCTGTGTGTTTGTATGTGGAGAGAGAAAACAAGTGTTTCCATGGTATCGTCTTTTCTTTCTTGCCATTATTATTATTATCATCCTTATTTATATATTTATTATTGTGTACAGATCTCCATGACCTTGGTGGTTATCTATCGACTAAATTTCTAATCATTCCGATTGTTTCTTCATTCTTTACTACCATCCTGGATTCTGAGTTGTTGTTTTTTTCTAATATATTTTCACTTTCTAGAACACTTTTCTTATTTATTTATTTTACTGACGTATACTATGTCCTCTTCTTGTCTTGTTCATCGTTTTTCATTCTGTACATATTATTGTAATATTTCAGTTTAGCGTGGATTATATACATACATATTTGTGGATCTCTGTGTGTATCCGTTTTCTCTGGTGGGCCAAGTTAAACTTTAAGCACCAGTAACTACCAATCAGCGAACGACGTCGAATTATCCAATGAAATTCACGTACGTTAGTTCAATTTTGTAAAGCGCTTGATTCATTTCAAATGCGTGCCTTAACAAGGTTACGGTTGCAATTCAAGGAGGATAGTGTTTACCATATTGCCTGGATTTGTAGGGTTGCTCCGGAAGGAGAGAACTTGTTCGTGTGGTGGTGTCATGACTTTAAAAGCTATAGCAGGTCAACAGCATCGTTGTGCAATATACTTGAAGCGAGTTAGCATTAGAGAGTGTAAGCTAGTAATTTTAATATTTCGTAGGAACTTTTTTTGCAAGGTCGCACCTCTCCTTGATGCAAATTTTGTATATCTGCAACTACTGGGTCTTGAAGCAGCCAGTGAGAGCCGCAGCTGCTGCTGAGATGGAGAATAGCCTCGTCTCAACAGTTCAATGGTATCAGCATTGCAGACATATTGCTTCTTGGAAAATGGAGAAAATCAGTTCTTTGTTGGGTGGAGAAGATGTTTTTGTGCACGTCGATGAAACTATGTTGGTGAAGAAGAAATACAACCCTGGTCACCAGCGAGCGAACAATATTTGGGTAATAGGTTTGTATGGCACCTCCCTCCGAAAGGGATTCGTCGAAGGGATAGCAGACAGAAAAGCAACTACTCTTATACTTATTGTTACCAGAATTGTTAAGCGGGGGTCAATTATACACACGGACGAGTGGAAAGGCTACAATTCGCTGTCATCTCTGGGATATATTCATCATAGAGACAACCATTCAAGTGATTTTGTGGATCCCGTTACGAGGACACATACAAACTCTAATGAAGGATTTTGGGGCAGGTTGGAAAATAGGATAAGGGCTATAAATGGATCTCAAAAGGATCTCATTTATAGTCATTTCGATGAATATATGTACAGAATGTGGTGTAACTTTTTATTGACAGTCCGATGCTTAACTGGGAGATGTTTCTTTCACACTTTAGGGAAAGATTCTCCCTGTAACAGTTTTATGCTTTTTTTCTATAAATATACGTTTCCATTATTCATAAATACCTCTTTTAATGTGATTAGTCCGTTCAAGGTCGTTTGCTGATTGGTTGTTAGGGCTGCCGAAAGTTTAACTTTGCCCTCTGGTGAAAGTAGGTATTAATTCTGTCGTGGATGATACTGATTATAATATTCTCCAACTAGTTTCTCAGTACGATAGGCTCATCATTAAAAGTTATAACAACGGTGGGGTTTGTGCGGAATAAGACGATGGTACCATCATTGCTTATTTCGTCGGCTCCTCTCATCAGCTGCTGCTAACAGCCTAAGTAAATTATTATTATTAAGTTTGTGTACAGAAAAGTTTTAACATGCTTGCAAATTTTTTTCATGTCAGTTGTCAGGAGGTTCCACAATTAGTGAACAGTTCTCAGGAAATTGTGCTTATATAGTTTTTACACAGGCAATTCAAGTTTAAACGAAAAATAATAATAATTTGCTTTATTCCAAAACAGTACTTGTGATACAGTTTGGAATTCTCAGAATTTTACTACAGTATTGCATCCAGTTAGTACATTAACAATAAATAAAATTTTACATAGATTAAGGGTAATCTCAGTTAGTTTTAACAACAACATATTGGCATGTCCAGTAGCAAAGCCAAAATTGAACAGAATGTTTCAAGGTGTTAGAAAAGTAGGTGCTAGCATATTGACTTGCGTAAGCGGTAACAAATAGGTCGAGATATGCAGAGTGTGAAAGAACGAAGATGAATGTTTTAATAGAGTTTGTAGGGATGAAAGAAACAAAGCAGCACATAACAGAAAAAAAGAGAGAAAAGAAAAAGAAAGAAAACGTTGTGCCCATAAATGATATGAATTGGGAAGACGAGATCCAGTTGTTCTACTGACTATTTAATAAGTTATAGGTTTCACGCCTAATGCTTTCTTCTTTGTCGCACAGAACACGAGCTAACTAGGGTATGGTTGAGTTTTTTGTATTTACTAGTGTGAGCATATAGTTATCTATATAGGCTTCTGGTTTTGCCTGCCTGATGAGATACAAAGGGAGAGTTGTGAATGAAATGAAAAAAAAAATGAAGTAAATGTATGCATACACTGGTAAAGGAGTTACGTAATAAAAACGGGAGATACGTAAGATGCTGAGTGACTAATAAATTAGGTAACGCTGAACTGAGTTCAACTCAACTCATAGAAACAAGAGACAAGCAAAATTACACTATATCAAAGAGGGACTGAGGTTAAAGCCAAAGATTACGTAATCAAATAAGGGAAAGAATAAAGACATCCAGTTACCAGGATGGGTGAGGAAAGACTAATAACTGCTTCTTTCTGAACATAGAAATCTGCTTTCAAGCGTTTGATAGAAATTCCTTCGGCAAACCAACACTTGAAAACCAGTGAGATGCTCACTGGTGACTGGCCCTATTCAGGTAGGTAGTTACCTGGGTTCCAGTGGGTAGTCGTGACCAGTAGGGTGCAGCTGGTCGGGTGTGAGGACAAATACTCGCCGAAGACATTGGCTACCGGTCGCGCTATGTCGTGAATTGGCAGAAGTTAGAATTCAAGGACCATTGGATCGGGTCCCAGTGGCTTAATGGTATACGAGCTCGCCTTGTAACCGGAAGGTCCTGAGTTCGAATTCCGGCGGTTGCGTACTGCTGAGGAGTCCCAAACTAGGACGGGTGAAACAGCTGTCCAGTACTCCCAGGTTTTCCAATGGTTCTCTAACGAATGTCAGCTCATGATGAAAACCTGAAACTTGAAGAGAATTGAGCTTTAATTTTAAAGGATTTCGCGATTTCCACCTCATGACTCGTGTCGAGGAGATGCCTGGCAATAGCGCTCCTATAAGAATTTGTTCCCTTGGGACGTAGACCTTTTGGCACTTGTTCAGATAATCGGTATAGGATGATTTAATAATTAACATGTTATCTAGTCTGTATAAAGTAGGTGGGATAGGCTTTGAACTCAGAGACCATTGATTTTAGCCAATCAGTGTTTAGTAGCACAAGTAGTATGGCAGTATTTTGTATCAATGTTGTGTAGTATAATCACATGTACTTGTTAGAATATTTGAGATGCAACCTGGTAAATGTTTTTAGCTATGATTTAATAATAATAATATTAACAGCTTTATTCCGAAAGGTATTTGTGGTACAGGTATAGAATTTTCAGCGTGCATTACAATATATTGCATCTAATTACCTCATAAATTTTATAAGACTTTTAAAATCAAAAAATAAATAAATGAAAAAAAAACCAACGCCAAAAAAATAAAATAAAAATTTAGAAAAAAAACAGCGTAGAGTTTACATTTCAAACAATGCACCACAGGATATGAAATATAAAGTTGATGTGTGATAGAGGATGAGAACAACAGTGTACAACAACAACAACAGTGTTTTCAGTCGTCAGGACTGCATATCTGTAAACGTCGATGAAGGGAATGTTATGTCCTTTGAAGGTGTTACTAAGTGCTGCAATCGTAGACTCTATTAATAAACTAACTATTTCCACTATAATTTACCTGAAGTATTAAGTTGTCTATTGACTTACCATTGCAGAGTAACTTATCTCATTTCTAATCCTTAGCGAATACGATTATGAGCAATAAATTGTGGTGAAGGCGCCATCAGTAAATAATGCTGTATCGCTGCATATTTTATGCATTAAACTTGTCTATGATGAAATTATGCCCAAATTCTATTCTTATATCACTGAGTGAATATTATTGATTAGACGCTGCACTCTTTATGGATGTTAAGAAGTTTGTAGAAACTTCTACTTGACTTCGCCTCTCATACTTATGGACACTCGTTAAAATTGAATATCTGCCACCTTAGGAGCAGATCCCTTAGACACTATAAGTTTCTTCGAGTTTTTAGATATGCTCCTCTCATATGAAATCAACTGCTCATCGAATATACGTTTATCATTTGCAATTACCAGTGTTCTCTGAGCTGGTTCGTTTAGTTGCGGAGCTTTCGTCGTCCAACTTCTGGACAACATCCCTTTTCAGCGCAATCTTTAGCATAAACTGAACTGATTTAAATTTTCCATGAGTGATATAATTGCGTCTCCCGGTAACCATCTTTACATATGTATTGACCATTTTCTATTGACTTGGATTTTAAACTTTCTTGTCACATGATTTAATTTTTATTAGTTGGTATATTTGGTCTATATGTTAACGTGTTTGTTAATTGCATTTTCGTTTGAGTATCAGGCTTTTAGGAATTCCCTGACTGCACTTTTCGTGTTTCCTCTGTCCAAGATTTGGACATTATCCCAAACAAATTGATGTCAATAATTGTCTATGTGCATTGATATGAAGGAACATACATTGTGTCTTTTCACGGATGATTTGTGTTCTTGGATTCTAATTCGAAGGGAACGTCCACTTTGGCCGATTTAATGCCTGTTATTTTGTAAATGGTAATAAGTTTATCTTTAACATCTTTGTCTTTAAATTTAACACCTTGAATCACACTCATCTTCAAGACTTCTCCTGCTCAGTTGCCTTCAAACGGACATTATGCCCCAATTACAGGACATCTGTATACAACTATCAGCAATATATATTTTTTTATTTGCTTCACGTTCCCAGTGAAACATAGGGCGTCTTCAAGCTGGAGGCTTGAAGTTTCTGTAGCAGTGGTGATTATTTTTACAGGATGTGGTTGCTAGCCTCACCTGGCCTAACCTTTCCTCTTTACCAGTTTTACTAGTGGATAAGTGAGGTAAAGGAGTGCGTCTGTGGTCGGTGATCGAACTCCGGACCATGTGCATGGTCAGCGAGCAATATATAACTCGTGGTAATTAAAATGAAAGTTAATAGTCTCAGGTTGACATGTCTGTTGGCTTCTTGTGCAGATGCTTCGATAATATCTGGGCATGTAATTAGAATTTAATTGGTGCATGATGACTAGCAGTGGAATCCAGCCAGGATGCGCATTTCGTATTATTTTGGACTCGTCAACTGGATGTACCTGCAATTCACTCACTTTCTGTCTGCTATTCTGTCGATAAATCCTTTCTGTAGAGAGGTGTCATATAAGCCGATCATCCAAACGTGGTTTCGCTCGCTCATGACCACGGTTGTATTTTTACTCCAATTAGACAGTTTCATCCGCGTGTAGGATTATACCTTCTCCCCCTAATAACGAAGTGATTATCTCCATTTTCCATGACGTGTGATGTCTCTGTAGTGCTAGTACCACTTAACTGTCGATACGAGACTATTTTCAGGTTTAGTAGCTTCACTTCTCTCAGGCTCTTTTAAAAACGAAGTGACTAAAAATATACAAAATCTGGGTTAATGACAAATGGGACAGGGCAAAAAATGTTCCTACAAAATATTAGAATAATCAGCTTACCTTTCCTAACACTAACTCGTCTCAAACAAATTGCACAATGACGGGCATATCCATCAATCGATTTGTTGAAGCTTTTTATATTCTTGACACCTCCACATGAACAAATCCTTTCCTTCTTAAGTAACGCCGCATCCAAGCAATTCTGGAAACTCTTATCCTCACCAAACTACAAGCACAACTGATTTAGATCAGGTATTTGACTCGAATCTAGCGGAATAGAACCTTCAACTCACATGGATGAAATTCATTAGACCATTTAAGTTCGTTTGCTGATTGGTAATTAGTGGTGCTTAAGGCTTAACTCGGCCGTAACGCTTATTATGCACGTAATTCAACTTCAATGGACTGTTTTTCTTTTCAGTCCGAAGTCTTAGTTAATGACTTGGTTCACTTCTAATATGCCAGCATTTGTACTACGGGGAAAAAATGAATACATTTCAACAAATAAATAAAAAATATTGACTGAAAACTTTACAAAGTATTTCAATTAGATAATGGTATTTTTAAAGAATAGTGGCAAATTATAAACGTGCCTTTATTA